ATACATGACAATGACATGAGAGCCCAGTTTCAGAGGTCCAGTCTTAAGTGGGCAACACAGTGGCTTAGTGCTTAGCACTGCTGCCTTGCAGCACTAAGGATCCTTGGTTTAAATCCGAGTCAGGAGACTATCTGCAAGGAGTTTGCATGTTCTCCCTGTGCTTGTGTGGCTTTCCGCCCACATTTCAAAGAATGCTCTGTGTGTATGCGAGATAGGGGCCTTAGATTGTAAGCTCCTTGAGGGCAGTAACTGATGTGAATGTGCAGCATGTAAAGAGCTGTGTAAATTGTCAGTGCTATATAAATACCTGTAATTCATTTGTAATAGCTGGTTCCATCATCAGTGCAGAGGACCATAGAGCATCGGCTGCTGTATTCTGGCTATATACATGTAGTTGTTTTTATGTTCCAATTTCTTGCAGCTGGACGTTTCTTTTATGAAATTGAAAGTTCTTAATTCTTTAAGGGTGACAAAAATATTCTTTAGATATAAAAGTCTTGTTGACAATAACAGATTGGTACATGTGTGTATGAAAGCCTTTAGTTTTGAAGCTGTCTTACTTCCAATGCACACATTTCCAAGAAGAGCCCACCTTCTTAAACACACAGAGAACAATATCATTGTGAAGCAAAGTATCAAACGAAATGTTGAGTGGAAAGCAGAAATGGGTGAAGACTGTCAAATTTCCTTTAAAACATTTTCACAACAGGAAAAAGGGCAAATATTGATTGTAGAAAGCTATTTGACTTGTATTTCACTAAACATGCTATGTAAACATCTAGTTCATCACACCGCCTACCACACTGTCACACTGAACTTTGCTGTTTATCACAAAAGAACTAATGTTCCCATCTTTTATTATGTGTTTATTTACTTCTCTTTCCCATAGACTACTGAAGTGTGGAATTCATAAAATACCAGGTCCCTATCAACAAAGACTTTACAGAGAAGTTGAAAATACCTACGTTGACACAATCAGGCCTATCTATACAAGCAAATTATAAAACACTCTAGGGTACATGCTTATGAGGTTTAACAAGTTGACATTTTGTGTGTTACTATCTTATTCACATTTTACTGTATACAATGCCTTTGTTTAGGTTCTGGGTTTAGTTCCGAAGAAGGATTATAGCGTCTCAAAGCTTGAATATTTTTAAATGATTTTAGCTATGCACTAAAGGCCCATTCACATCTTAACACTGTGGTAAGGTGTATGACGCACATTATTATAATGTATGGTAATGCATGAACCGTGGTGCACTGAGGTGCTATTCATTTTAAATGGCACCCCTGTGCATTATTACAGTAGAAGGCAATGCACCTGTACTTCAGCACAAATTATTTGCATTGTGGAGCACTGTGTTATGAAAAACAGTCACTGCCAGCCAATTCAAATTAAATAGGCTGCCTTATCTCAGCGTGCGTATAATGTATGATAATGCACATACATTAACACAATGCATAGCGTAAATGGATAAGACACTGCACTAATGAACGTGTGCTATCACAATGTGATGGGCCCTAAATTAAGAGATAACTTTGACAATACTTTTTGCTTCTCTAGTCATTTACTTATTCCTGGTTAACATGGTACATCACTTTTTATACTTATACTCAGTTACAAGCAATAAAAATATTGACATTCAAATACTCCAAGGGAAAAAAAAAAAGATCTGAAAGTCTGCTTTTTTCACTTATGGCCGATAGCTGGACTACGAAGACCCAACCAATCTGCATGTATAATTTTCGGGGGGGAAAAAAACCTGTACTGGGTATTTCTTGCTACTGTACAATAAAGGTGGGAGATGATTAAATCACTCTGGTTACATGGAGTCCTACCTAATAAAAAACACTGAGTCCAATCAGATTTGAAAAGTAAGAGTTACACAGCTAAAAATGAAAGGGTTACTAAGCAGCTATCAAATATCTTCAGTAATGTATCCCCAATACCTGTAGACCATTTGCACCCCCCACAGAAGCCTGCCACAAAAATTCCATCTTGCCTTGTTTCCAGCTGTTGGGACACTTGTCCCCAGGAGCACAGACGTGAGCGCCATCCATTCACAGTGCCCTCTCTCTCCTGTATGAATAATATTGTGAGTTTCTGTGGCAGGTTTCATTGAGAGTACATATGGCCGACAGGTTTGGCAGAACCTGTATATTAATGTCACTAGAACAAGAGGTGAGGGTAAATCTTCCAAAGGAAACACCTGTTCCTATTACATTTGTCTAAAAGGGTAGTTCCCCTCACTTTGCGATATTTCCTCTAACACTCTGTTGCTTCTGTGGGACAGGAAGTAAAGAAACATCTCCTCAATGGTACATAGCAAAAAATAAGTTGATGGGAGATCTAACCATACTTCCATACTCTATGCAAAATTGAAAAGGTTTGACTATTCACACTGTATATTTTAAAGTGGAAGAACAAAAAACAAAACAACAAAAAATACTCACAGGTAGGGTTTTTATGACAGAAGAGATTCATAAATTGTCATAAATACTGCCTCCCTGTCTGTCAGTGTTTGTGTGGGCTGCTGCTCGTGCATGAGCAGCTCAGTGCACAGGCTTGGCGCATGTGAAGGAGTTACATCCCGGCCTGGATAATGAAGAGGCCAAATACACCAAACCTGGAGACTGTGTGAAGATGGAAGCGCTGAAGATGGAGAAGAAAAGGGTAACAACACAACGCTGGAGGGGATCACCTACAAGGCACATCTAGCACATTATGGCATACACTTTCTGGGGGCCCGAAATGTATGTTTTACTAAGGTAGATTATTACCGCTTTACGAGACCGTTATATACATGTACCCTAGAATGTTCACTGAGCCTATCCCACAAAACAATAACTGGAACTATCTATAGGTTGCCGAGACCTTGGCATTGCACTATGTGATGCCGAATGTGGGTACTCCTAAGTTCCAACCTTAGAAAGTCAATATTTACATACAAATTTCTGTGGTCTCTAGTCAGCTGGTATATACAGTAGAGGAATGCACTGGCACCTTATGATGATCTTCAGTTAAGATCTTAGTTTACACTTTTTTTTATACTGAAGGTTTGGTTCTCTGTATAATATCTATACAGCTTAACACTACTGTCAATGATTTTTACAGTTAATTTGTAAATGACCTTGGCTTTGACAACCCTGGCTGCAAAGTAGTTTCATAACAGTAAAGTGAGGGATGCAGAATGTGTAAGGAGATTGTTGCATGGAAGGAAATCATTTGTTTTCTTTGTATCACACAAAGCCTTCCTCTGCCACCTTTCTCACATAAAGGATTCCTTTGCAATGACCTAAGTATCAAAGAGTGATGTTTTACACTTCAACAACCTTCATTACTAAAGATAGGGTCTTTATTAGTGATAATGAATCAGGAGAAGTGCAGATTCACCACTTTTGGATTCTGCTTTCAAAATGGATCTGTTTGGTCTTTGGATTTAACGATTTAGAAATCCCAGTCATCACAATTCACAAACTGGATGTCTCTGAGAAAGGACTAGACCAGTGTATGACACTTCAGGATGGAGACCTTCTCTGCAATCAGGCAGCACCAGTCACGTGAGATGCTGATCAGGGACTCCCCTGTCAGTATCCTTGTGACAGCAATAAAGATCATTTAAAAAAAGTATAAAAAAGTATAAAAAATTATTTAAAAAGTATAATTAAAAAAAGAACACACACACACACACTTATATATTCATGAAGTGTGGATGCACGTGCATAAAAACGCATATTATGCAACACATATTAGGTAACCTCACACGTGTCAGAGGTAAATCAATAATTTTAGGGCTATTACTTGTGTTGAAACAGAGTGCAGGAAGCGTGTCGGATTGCTGGAGATCCAGATGTGATCTGTGTGAGAGCAGTGGTCCGGATCACCAGTACGCTGCTGGCACAGGGCAGGATGATGTAGTAGTAAAACACTTAAGAATAAAAAAACAAACATATTCCTCACTTGTTATGCAGCCTTACTGCATATGTGTAATGGAGTACCTAAGGGCTGATATACAGTAAATGACCTGCTACTTGCAAATTCTGTGAATGGTTTGAGCTTTACAGGCAATAATAGATAGTACAGGGGTGGTGAACCCCAAGAGTAAGTGAGCAATGTCATCCATGTGAATTGCTTGTTATCACACAAAGTGTATTGTAATTGTGATACCTGTTGCTGTATCAACTCCCCACAATGGGAATTCCCCTCACTATGGAGAGATTTCCTCATATTTCCTGCAGCATCCCCAGGACAGGGAATGAAGGGAAATCTCCCCAGCAGGAAACAGGCAGCAAGATATAACCTGATAGATGGTTTACCCTTCCCTACTCTAATCTATAACAAACAAAAACATTCTGCCACTTTAAATTCCAATGCTGGACAAAATGTTTCACTTATTTTTGGATAAAAACAACAAGGGTTACCACCTCTTTCCGGTTTTTATTGACATCTGTATCCCCAAAAAGGAGCTTTTCCCTCGCTTACTGCCAGGACAGGAATAACTCTACCAATGTCAACACAGTCAAAAACCGTAGCATGTTTTTAATAGTGTGATGAAAGGAATTCCCCTCTAATTCCCCTCGAACTTCTGACAATACTTTTATTGCTGTTTGCGCATTTCTGTTCCGGTGACACCCGAAAGCCTTTTTTTTTTTGTACAGGTGAGACGGAGACAGGAGTTGGAAGGCCCAACTCCCCAGTAGGGTCACAGTCATAAATAAAAACCTGTGGAAAACTTTAACTCTTCCCCACTCTATCTATCTTACCTTCTGCCTTAGGTGTAATGCTAACTTATCTACTTCATTTATTTGTTAGAGGAAACATGCATTCATCAAAATATTCTGTGTATTTAATGGATGTAAATGTGCAATTGACTCTTATCTGCTTCCTTCTGCAAAAATGTCATCTATCAGCGCAGCCAAAAATGTAATTTCTCTTTGATGGTGGATGTGAGGTCAACAGAAGGGTAATAAAAAGTAGACATTAGTGTAGTTGTCTTTACCTGCAATCTATTCAGCTGAGATGAAGATTTTCCTGGAAGGCATAACGCTTGGGCCAGAAAGGCTTCCATGTCTGTCAGACTCAGACTTTCTACCTGATAAAAAAAAAAAAAAAAGAAACCATGAAAAAGAAAAACCAGCACTATTCAGTGTGTAGAAAAAAAAAAGAGCATCCTAAACAAATACTGCACCCTCTATAAACATATCTGCACCACTAAAACATGGATTTTGTACCTATAAAAAACAGAGACACTGCTGTGAGCCAAAACGAACACATTACAATTGCTGTTTGCTTTGTAAATAGGTGCCAGATAGACGTCCTGGTAATCACAATAAATTCATAGCTTGAGGGTACTTAAATTCTCACTGTGTGTTGGTTAGAGAATTTGAGATAAAGGAGACAAAAACCTACAGTCTTCATGTTGCAGCCAGAGGCTCCTGCTAATATGCCCACCACAGCCAGACAGTCTACTCACAGCTGCATTTGTTTGTCTTTTTCTGTATATTAAAGACATTGTTGTCAGGTAACATGATGAAAAAAGTTCAGACTTCTTTAAAGTGACACTAAACTCAGGAGTTACATTTTTAAAATGCATTCAACTACCTTAACTATTAACAAAAATGTATCTTATTTGTGTATCACTCGGTTGTAGATTCTCAAATCATCTCTGAATTGGTGCTGACACTGTCCTTCCTTCTGGAGGGTGGCTACTTTTGTACCCCATGGCCCCTGTGTGTGCTGTAAAGTAGCCACAGATCCAAGATCACTCCTGTGATTGACTACAATCTCACGTTTAGTTTACTAATTTGTAGTCCATCAAATAAGAGAGCTTGGAGAGGTGACTACTTTACAACACACAGGGACCATGGGGAACAAAAGTAGCCCACCCTCCAGAGGGAAGGACAGTGCCAGCACCAATTCAGAGATAATTTGAAGATGTACAGCTGAGTGATGCACAAATAAGATACATTTTTTGTCAGATTTAGTGCTGGATTTACACCCGAGTAATGCACAAATGTTTGTTGATAGGTAAGGTACTTGAATGCATTCTTAAGATTTAACTTTGGAGTTGAGAAGAAATTCTCTCACACGCTCTACTGTTTAAAATGAGGACAGCTACATGGCGAAGCTAATGCGTATCTATCCCCAAGAACAAAAATATAATACAGTATATTGCAGCTAGCTAGTCCTTAGATGTGGTGACAGCATTCATGTCTTTTTCAGGTTGTTTTTTCTCTATTTTCACCTGCTGATCATGGCAGTTACACGCTTCCTGTCCTAGGGTCACTCATTATACTGAATCTATGGAGGAGCAGTGTGGTCACACTGTGACAGGGCTACAAAACTCCCCCTCTCCACTTTTCCATAACATAAGGAAGGAGTTCTGTAGACCAGAGAGAACTGGGAACAGTAGAGGCAGAGAGAACAGAATGTTATCAGCTCACACGATTTCTGGCAGGATAAACAGGTTTTTTTTTTTTTACTTATCAACTAGATATAACAAAAGGGCTTAAAATAGTATATTTAACAGACCAAAAAGGTGTAAATGAGAGAAGTTCTTAGTTAAGGTTTATATATACTTTAGGAGGTATTTTTGCACTTATTAAACAGATATGACAAAACATTTTAAATAGTATATGTAAAGGAGAACTATGGGGGTATTTTCCCCCATAGTTCTCCTCAGGGTCAAGGGAGGACATAAACTAGCTACAGTTCGCGTTATACTGAGACTGCTGCAGCCGGGATGGATCCCGACATTACTGTCGAGATCCACGCGTCTGCGTGAGTGACAGCTGGCTCTGCCTATCTAGAGGCAGAGCCAGCTGTACCCTCCCCCTCCCCCTCCCCCGTCTGTTCCTCCAGTCAGCACTGGAGGATCGGAGCGGGGGGGGGGAATCCCTGCAGGGAGCCGTGAGTGACAGTCACGGCTCTCTGCAGGGACAGGATCGAGAAGTGAGCAAGCGACGGTATGTGTCCGCTCACTTCCCGATCTATTGAGCCGACGTGTGACAGTTTAATTGTTACACGTCGGCTCAAACTATGAGGCTGAGTGATTTTCATTCACCTCATAGTTCTCCTTTAAAGACCAAAAGGGAGCAAATAAGAGTTCATTGTTAGGATTTGCATACACTTCAATAGAGTTTAAATGCCTATTATCTTGTAACTGAGCTAAAACAACAATCTTCTACTGAAAAACATCCTCTGATATAGGAAGTCTGTTGGTTGAGTTTAACATATTTTTTTGCCCATTGGACCATCACTGTGCAGTACAGAGATGGGCATGATATAGACTCACTGCCCAAGCACACACAGCTCCACAAGCACAAATGATGGAACTTTGAATTACTTCAAAGTGTAAATAACAAATAAAAGACATTTTTTTTACTAGCTGTGTTAAGAAATTATCCAAAGTATATCACAGGATCTTTGACCATCTTTTTATATTAACAGTAATGATTCATTTAAAAAGAAAAACTACATGACAGAGTGATTATAAGCCCACAGTTGACAGATATCAGTTTTATGTGGAACTTCAGCCAAAACTTTTTTTTAGTTTTGGACAAATGTAAAAGGAGCATTGAACGAATTGGTATTTACAATGGTAGGCAGGGTAGCAGGTGATACTAAATCAAACGTGTGGCCAATGATGAGTGAACTATTCATATTTATCTTTATGAACATGCTCCTATGAGCCAGTGAACATTTGCTTTCATTGACGATAGAAACAATATATAAAATTACGTTGTCAACTCTAATTATTAAAGTGACACTAAACTTGAGAATTAAATCTTTAAAATGCATTCAAGCAATTCAAGCAAAAATGGAATTTATTTCTGTATCACTCAGCTGTAGATCCTCAAACCATCTCTGAATAAGTGCTGACACTGCCCTTACATCTCGAGGGTGGCTACCTTTGTTGTTCCCCATGGTCCTGGACAACCTTTGCAAATTGCTTTTGATTACATTTCTCATAATATAACAGAATGCCGTAGGACTTAGACTAGATTTTCTGCATTGCTAGGCGTCATGATAATAACAGCCTTGATTTCCCTGTCTCTTTGGGTAGACAACCTCACCTGGAGGTGGGAGTGCGGGGGTGTTTGTATGGACAGTGCAACTATTTAAAGTGACACCAAACTCAGGAGTAAAATCTTAAAAATGCATTTAAGTACCTTAACTATGAACAAAAATGTATCTTATTTGTGTATCACTCAGCTGGAGATCCTCATATAATTTCTGAATTGGTGCTGGCACTGTCTTTCCTTCTGGAGGGTGGCTAGTTTTGTTCCCCATGGTCCCTGTGTGTCCACTGCTCCAAGCTCACTCTCATGGTGAACTAAAATTTCATGTTTAGTTCACTAATTTGTATTGAAGTTCATCAATGGAGTGAGCTTGGAGGATTAGCTACTTTACAACACACACATGGACCATGGGGAACAAAAGCAGCCACCCTCCAGAAGAAAGGACAGTGTCAGCACCAATTCAGAGATGATAAATAAGCAGGGCTTGAAAAATCCGCTCGTCCACTTGTCTGTGACGAGAGGACGGCGGAGCCGGACGAGTAGCTTCCTGGCCGGCCATTGTAATTAAACGGCCGGCCGGGAGCTTTACATTCAAGCAATTGGGCGTCTCTAGAGACGCCCGACCGCTTGTATTAGCAGCAGCTGTCACTGCCGTTGCCGGTCCCAAGACCTGCTGTGCCCGATGCAGCCGGGACCGGCACGGCTCTGTGAAAGGAGATCAAAGGGAGTTCGGTACACAATTTCCCTCTGATCTCCTCTCCAGTCCCCGAATGCAGGACGTGATGTATGTTACATCACTTCCACATTCTGCTGTCACTGTCCAGCTTCAGAAGCTAATGAAGCAGATCTCTGCTTCATCAGCTTCTCTGGGGGTCCCTAGGTGACATTAGGGGTCTTGGAGAACCCTGATGTCTCCATAAAGAAAACGACGATTGTGCCTATTGTGCCGCACGTTACATATTACCGCGAACATCGGAGTGAAAGCAATAATTTTAGGGCCATTAATCACTGCTAACACTAAACTGATGAGCAGTAAAAGCGTTTAAAGTGTCACCTATGGACAATTTTCTGTGTGGTCGTTTTTTTGCAATTTTGCGGGCGCGTGCAATTTTAAGGCTTGAAATGTTTGGTGTCTATTTACCCGATGTGACCTCATCTTTTATATTTTACCAAAAATATGGATAAGAATAAATGTTTTTCAATATAACGTAGGGAAAACATTTTTGTTTTCGAAGTTTACGGTACTTTTTTCATTATATAGTAAAAAATAAACCCCCCAGTGGTGATTATATACCTCCAAAAAAAAAATCTGTGTCGCTAAAAAATGTTAACTTTAATTGCAAGGCTATAGTCCGGTAATGCTGACTGGTGACATTTTTGACTGACTGACTGGTGAGGCACCCTAAAATTTTTCAAGCCCTGTAAATAAGTTACATTTTTGTTAATAGTTAAGGCATGTGAATTAATTGTATTGATTTAACTCCTGAATTTAGTGTTATTTTAAAAGCAACTAGTGTAAGTTCCTAAAATTGAGCTGGTATCAGCCTCTTGCAATCCTCTGTACAGCAGGGAGAGTAAGGGGCAGGATAAAGGGCCAATCCATTGTACTACAGTGCTCATCTGCTAACAAGGTAAATGATGATAGAAGGAAAGCAGAGTCATAGAGAGATCATCTGAGATAGAGAAAGCTCCTCAGCCTACTGCTTCTCCTTCACTGTCAAATCACAGCTTGGGTGCAAGGACAAGACCTAGCTGTCCTACTTTGTTACAGTAGAGAAAATCAGGCACCCAGGTTGGCTAATCTGTCAGACAGAAAAGTGTACATTTTAGGATTGAATGGACAGAAATACAAATCCTTTGGCAGGTAACACATCTCACATATACAGGTGAAACTCGAATAATTAGAATATCGTGCAAAAGTTCCTTTATTTCACTAATGCAACTTAAAAGGTGAAACTAATATATGAGATAGACTCATTACATGCAAAGCAAGATAGTTCAAGCCGTGATTTGTCATAATTGTGATGATTAAATGCATTTAGCGGTATGCCTAAAATCCAGCTTTCAGGCAGATTGCTTACTTGGCTCCTGGGAATTCTCCAAGTCTGCAATCTACCAATCATACAATGCTAATAGTAACACAGACACTACATCAAATCCCCTGTGATTATTAGCAGGAAATGTAATCCTAATACCTGCACTGCAAGATAGATCAGTAGACAGCAGGTAGCAGCAAGGTGGGTCTCCAGGCCTCTAAGCTCCTCTGTCCATCTTTCTACATGGAAACATGCCATGCATGTATAGAAACGTCTTCTTTGAATGTCAGGATCTTCAGATAGCCAGAGGCTCCTGGCAGTTGGTGTTCCACCTACACATAAAGAGGAAAAGTTAATTTATTAGTATAGTCCATATTGGTACATAGATGCATTTTCAATGTTCACCTAGTTTCTATACCAAAATCAAGCCACGGGTACTCCTAGACATACTGGATTGCTCTCAAATTTCTCAACCATGATTAAACGCCTGTACCACTAGTTCTCTACCTTATAACAGAGGCTATATAATCTCTTTATTGGATCCTTTGTTCCACAATTTTTATAAACAAAAATTGTGCAAAAACATGCAAGACTTATGCAAGAGCTATGCTGGTCACACTTATTACAATCAGTTGAGCAATATTTTTTAGATATACCAAATATTATGCATGTATATGCAAGGGTCTACCTGATTGTCAGTAAACAAAATAAATGGTTTATGTAGACCTTCCAGATACATAGTTGTTGGTAACATTGTGCAGAGAGTCTTAGATGGATCAGTCACTGCTTAAGGCAATATTTTGCAATCTAATCACAATCAATTAGATAGACTGTATTTGAGTCCTTAAAACATAAATAGGCGTAGTCACTCTAGCATAAAAAATACAAACATATAGGTTTATTTTAGGTACACACCAGTCAAAGGACCCTTTCACGTGGATTTAAATCCGGTTACCTCCGATAGTCCTTGTTAATTATAATTCTTCTTCCTGCACTATCCACAGAAGCAGTGTTCCCAAACTTTTGTTTTTTTTAGTTATGAGCAGTGTGTGTATATTTTGACCATGTGCACTGCTCACCTAACACTACAACTCCCAATATGCACGGTGCCTGCCTACTCCAATGTGGATGCAGAGACCTTTAGGACCTGGAAATTAGAGGTGAGAGATCACCTGAAAGCGTAGAGTTGCAGTTTTGCTTGACCCAATGCTAACAACCCGCACTACTGTCTACTACCAAAACCCTACCAATTATTTTACACAAGTTTATTTTATCTTATAATAGATTCAGAATTAAGAAATCTATGTGATAATCATATTCATGCAGTTAATTCAGATCAACGCAATGAAAGGATAACAAAATTAGACTGTTAAAAATAGGAAAATAACACACGGCAATATGAAGGTCCCATGCATTAGTTTTGAGCTGACACTACTATTCCTTGAGCGTGCACAACGGAATCATTTAGCAGAGCCCTGTAGTTAGGAGGGAAGTAAAGGGTTCAATCACACTAGCCCTCACACCAAAATACTGAGTTTACTGTGCGTTGTTTAAGCATAGCGCATCACACTTTAACTTTATTGAGAGTGTACAAAGTGTATACTCTATTCAAGGTCTCCGCACAGCAGCGTGATGTGCTGCGCTGCAGTGACCTGTGCTGCCGTCTGCACATCCTGCCCATGCTGTGCAGCAATTTCACTTCTCCTTATAAAGCTGGCCATACACCTTCAACCATCGCACGACATTCGTTGTGCGATGGTTTTAAGGTCATTAAAATTTCGTTCGACCTGCCCATCTTGGACAGGCTCGTGCGCCTTTCGTCTTCCGAGCACGCTACCAACCCACCGGAAATCGTACGATTTTCGGCAGGTTTTCCAGCGTGTTAGGAAGACGAAAGTCGTGCAATCGTACAGTAGATGCGGTCGCACGCTGCCCATACACCTGCCGATTATCATACAATTGCGGGATCACCCGCGATTATCGTACGATAATCAGCAGGTGTATGGGCACATTTAGTCTCCACCCTCACCCTGTGACTAGACAGTGATGGGAGGAGCAGCATGCTAGTAAACCCATCTCTGTGTCACTCTGATTTCTCCTCCTATCATGGTTCTTGCACTGCAGCACACCTGTGTTGCTTCTCCTGACCTGTCTCTAAACTTTGCTGCATAGGCTATACAAAAGACTGCAACAGGCTGATACCATGTGAACACTTACGGTTTGCATGATGATTTAATGATGTATTATTGAATACAGAGTTGCATTATTTTTGTGCCCTTTATATCTCCCTGGGGTTCAGCTTTAAGAATTCATGTTCAATTGTGACCGCATCTTATTACCCTGAAATCAGCATGATTAAAACCAAAGGGCAAAACCTATCTTCCTTATCTCCCCCCTTTACGGCCAATTATTTTCTATAACATTTACATGGTTAAAAAAAGTCATTCTATGAAACCATTTGCTGCTGTTTTACTGACTAATGCCCTAATTTTACCTACAAATTATCATCTCTGTAGCTTGGCAGGTGCTGTCAAGCACTGACAGACAGGAGGGAAAGATATACAAACATTTCTATTGCATCTTAGACCAAAGTATGTCACCTTTGTCGAAGGCTTTCCTAACAATAGAACATCATACCTGCTAGCAAACTGACCCTACTTTTAAGACAGGTTAAATATAGGTGTTCATTCACGGGGCAGGCTCGGGCCGAACGTCTGCCCAGTGATAACTGTGAACTTGTGCAAGGCTCGTGCTTCTCAGGAATGCAAAGTACATTTCAGAAGGTACAAGGCTTTGTACTCACGGTGAATAAAACATATCACTCAGGAAAAGAAATGAAGCAGCATTGTTGACAATGACCCTAGGACAGTGGACGTCAAGCATTTATAAAAAAGAGATTTATTCCCAGACTATGCAAGCTGGTCACTTCCTGCCCTAGAAGACAATTTGTGCTAACAAATAAGACAGTTAATAGATACTAATAGAATGGTTTATACTTGTTTTGCTGTAGAGCTCATGCTGTCTAGTCCTTGCGGGGATCAAGCCTCAAGGTGAATCTTTGGTGGTCAACTTGCTTGACACTGGGGGCCTCCTGATATCGCCAAAGGGCACATAATATTCACTAAAAGCTATAGAAAGCTGTCAGAGACTGAAGGCTAGAAACAACTCAAAAGAATATATATTTACGTAACTGGGCTAAGTAAACTCTAAATAGGCCACTGCCTGCAGGGGTCCCGAGGGCCACAGAATAGGTACAAAAGGTCTGCATATGGCCCCCGGGCCACAGCTTGGTCACCAGAGATTAAAAAATAGAACTCCAGGAAATGTTTTTATTAACCCTTGCAGTGGGGCTATCCCCGCACAGCAAGGCTTAAGTGTTCATTTGTGTCTAGGTTTAAAAAAAAGTTATACTCACCTGAAGCTCCGAGCTGCCTTCTTCTTAAGGTGGCCATACACTTTACACAATCACAAGACTTTTGTCTTGCGAGGGTTGTAAAGTAATTTTAAAGGTCTCTACCCCTCCTCTGCAGCGGTCTAAGGTGCCGTAAATCATTTTGTCTATACACAGTGCATAGACGTGAGGACGCTGAGGAAGATTCCAATGCTGCAGGGAAGGGGAGGGAGGCTGGAGGGAGGGCTGTGACAGCTGGCCGGCTCGAAGCTCCGGGTGAGTATAAAAAGAGTATATCTTTAATATTTTAGCACCTAGACACAAACAAGCACTTAATTGCCCCACTGCAAAGGGTTAATACAAAAAAAAAATACCTGCAGTTCTTCTGTAAAGAGGTTCTTTATCTTTATCGTTAAAATGACAATAAAGACACATATAGAAATGTTTATTAATTGCAATCTACAAACAGATACTTCTAGATAATTGCAGGCTTTGTATTCTTTGCATACCTTATTTTTCTTTTCCTCCCTATTCTTCTCACAGTGCCTATTTTTACTAAGGGCAGATTAACCTATCTTCCTTTACTTCCTGGAACTCTGGCACATGGTATTCAAGCAGCAGAACTGGCAGTTGCATTCAGGTACCCGAACATTGGCTGACATTACTCCATCCATGATGCTTAGCGAGGATGGGGAAAATGAGCAGTTTTATTTCATTCAGCCTGGGGACAAGAAAAAACTAGAGGTGTATGGCCAGTTTTAAAGAAGAACTCTGGGCAGTAGAAAATGTAACCCTTGCAGTGTGTGGGGTAGCCCCACTGCAAGGGTTACATTTTCTACAGGCAAGTTTTTCTTTCTGGTATTTAAAGCTGAACTGCCAGTTGACTAGCATTCTAATGGCTTTAAAGATTAAAATAATAAAACATTTTCTATATACCATAAGTAACCTCCTCAGATGCACCTTCCGTGATGCCTTTTTTTATTTGCTCTTCTTAGAAAGACAGCTCCTGGTCAACATGTCCCAGTACACTTTGGGGCTTGCGTGTTGCCCAGGAGCTCTATATGCAGGGGTAATCAGTGGTGCTGAGAGAATGCACCTGCCATTGTTCAGCAGCAAAAACTATAGTATGTAATTCACATAGCATCAGTAATTACATTTATTTTATCTGAGATTTGCAGCACCAGCCTATTCAACGTCTTAAGCTTGCTAAGCAACAGCAGGGAGGAGACGTCAATTATCAGGCAAATGCATGGAAGTGCAGCTGGTCAGACCCATGCCTGACCTAACTGATGAAGGAACGTTAAGGGGGCGGCCTGGAGACTGGTCTTCGGAGCAGCTGGACAGAAGAGAAATACACAGATCTTTAATGTTAGCTTCACATTATACTGGACTGTTATAGCACCCAAAATAAGCCTTTATTACAAAAGCTGCAGCATTGTTAAGATGGCCCATTGGCACCCATTACTGTGTTGTGCCCAGAGATCAACTTTAATAAAAATGTATGAATAAACAAAACTTTTTTTTGTAGGTTTGAATAGCGTAAGGAAGGATTACAATGCCTGTCAAGTTTTTTTTTATTGCTCTCTGTGTTCCCTTTGGGGAGAATTACTGTCTATTTGCTGTAGTGACTATTGTCAGTGGGAGAGAAAATAATGAGAAAATCAAAAACTTTAGAGTTGTCACCAGAGCAGAAGATGAGGGGGAATCTAGCCATAGAGACAGATGTTCAGGAAACAAACATCTGAGAGGGAATTTCACTTTGGAGTGATTTCCTATCACTTCCTGTTGTGTCTTCTGGACAGGATGTGAATGGAGACCTCCCTAAGAGGATACAAACCGTAAAACAATCTATTGGTTAGATTCTCCCTCACTTTCAACTCAAAGCAACAGGTTCACTTAATGGCTGGCCTTCCCGCTGCTTATTCTCTCCTTTGGTTGGCC